ATGCGCTGCTCTGGTTTGCCAGAAGCGGCTTAGTCATGCTGGCCACATGACTTGGAAGCTGTACGCCAGCTCCCTCAGCCAGCAAAGCGAGATGAGCACCACAACCCCAGAGTTGCCCGCGACTGGACCTAACAGTCAGGGGTCCCTTTACCTTTACCTTTAGCAGGGAGGCTGAATGCTGCAGTAGTCGACTTGAGAAATAATAAAATTGTGTATTGAAAAGTTGGGAGTCTCTGTAAATAGAAAAGAGCAAACTCCTTGCTATATTGACAAGCTGAAAGTGGAAGGACTTTGCAACCAGATGGACATATTGGGGGGAAAGAAGAAGTAAACAGTTTCTCAATATTTTGATCTTGAGAACAACAACAACAACCACCCCCCCCCAAACAAGTTAAAGTGATTCTGTTGCGAGAGGCTGAGGAACATGAAAATCCAGAATATTGGTTTTGACAGAGTTTTCAAGGGAAATAGGCAAACAATAGAAAGTTGGGCAAGTGAAAAGAGAGGAAGATAAGAAATAGCAGTATTGTAAATCCTTAGCACAGATGTGATATTAGAAGAAAATGAGTGGATAACAAAAGCAAAAGGGAGAACATCAATAATATTTCATAGTGAAGGATGAGCCAGTCACCATAAGGTTAATTCTTTTTTTCACACTGAAATTCCACTCTCTATGAAATTCCACTATCTATGCAACTTACCTGGTGGTGTTCAAGTCCACATCGGAAATCTGCTTAGCTTAAGAGAATCATACACCCTCAAACATTGAACTGACTGGTGCAGCTGGTTTTGTCTACATTATTCAAGTCCTGAAAGAGGTTCGCCCTACCTGTTTGCATTTGGGGTGCTGTTTGATATTTACTTTCAAAGCCCTAATTGGCTTGTGAGCCAGCTTTGTTGGTTAAGGAGTTATCTGTCAGTTTCATCTGGTGCTTTTATTCTGGTTGTGTTTCATTGTACTGTTCATTTCTTCATGCTTGTACAACTGCTCAGAAATCTAGTACGATGAAGTGTGGTATGTAACTGTTTTAAACAAACGAATGACGGTGTGCCGGAGGCTACATGGGAAAGAAGACAGAGAATTCAGATGATTAAGGTTGCAAAACAAGTTCCATTATGGTGTTGTAACAAAATTATGTCAGATATACACCTTTCTCACGTCAAGCCATGTTTAAATGTTTAAAGTCTAAGAGCTTTTGCTAGGGAAGATGATGGGAGAAGCATTTGTGTTCTGTTAACAACTGAATTATACAATGGAAAGTGCATGGAGAACGGGTGGGGGTTTTTTTGGGTGGGGGAGAATGTTCTTTTGGAGAAATAACAGCTGTTTTTGTGAACACAGAAAACTGACGAGTAAAGAAAACCTGCCTTGTAAAATTCAAGGGCTCGGACAGGAGGAAGTCAGTAATGAGGAGAGGATGTTAAGAAGGGAGAAAAAGGCATCACCTGCTTTATCCATACACGTTGAGGGAATTCAAAAGTTTGGGCTCCAGATGTTGAGCAAAACCCCAATTTGCAGGAGTTTCCTGTCAGTTTCCACTAGTAACGTTAATTTACAGCCACACGAGAGAGCACTTTGGTCCGTCGCCAGTTCTATCTTTGCATAACTGCAAATGGAAGGGAAGCTCTTGCAGGCAAGCAATCCCTTCCAGAGGAAGATTTGAGATTGGGAGATATCATCTGCCTGGTAGGATTAGTCAGCTCACACTGGCGGGAGCTGAAATGCAAAATTCTCCCTGCATCCAGCAAGTTGCCCATAAAATGGGGTTGACTTAGGGCTCCATATTAAAGGAGATGGGTGGCAAGGGGGGACCAGTTTGAAGCAAGTGGCTTTCATATTGGGGAGAAATGGTGGCGCAGTGACAAGGACATATAGTTTGCATGCAGGTTTGATCCCTGGGGTCTCCTTAAAAGGCTCAGCAGGCAAGACTAGTAGATAGATGGACATTTTGCCCCAATATTTTAAGAAGAGGACTCTTTATAAGAGGCTCCTGAAGGACCAGGTCAGGAATAGCTGGCAAGGTTTCCTGTAAGACAGATTGCCTCCTGCTATTACACTTCCTTGGCAGTGTGTAGCCACAAGGGAGTTTTCAAGGGCATTCTGGGGAGTATTTATGGAGGCACAGTGTTCAATGAGAACTGACCAGGCAGTCTTTTTTTCCAAATTAATCAATTAATTAATTAATTGTTATATTGCTGTGCAATCATTATTACTATTATTTGGATGTCTCACCTACCCTAAGGCCCCAGGGCCGGTTAAAAAGGTAAAGGGACCCCTGACCATTAGGTCCAGTCGTGGCCAACTCTGGGGTTGCGGCGCTCATCTCTCTTTATTGGCCGAGGGAGCCGGCGTACAGCTTCTGGGTCATGTGGCCAGCATGACTAAGCCGCTTCCATGAGCAGCTCATGGAAATGTCGTTTACCTTCCCGCTGGAGCGGTACCTATTTATCTACTTGCACTTTGATGTGCTTTCAAACTGCTAGGTTGGCAGGAACAGGGACTGAGCAACGGGAGCTCACCCCATTGCGGGGATTCGAACCGCCGACCTTCTGATCGGCAAGTCCTAGGCTCTGTGGTTAAACCCACACCGCCACCCGCGTCCCTCCAGGGCGGGTTACTACCATTTAAAAACACAATGGTAAAATCAGGTAAAACTATAATCAGAAAAAGAGGGTGGGCCATAAATCTCTCTCTCTCCCTCAGGTGTCCATGGCTAGGGAAAAGAGGTGTGTCTTTGGCATATAATGAAAAGCTATAGTACAGTGGTACCTCTGGTTATGTACTTAATTCGTATCCCACTAACATAGGGCAAAGACCCACAAAGGGTGTCCCTCAAAACTGCAGCCAGCCCTCACTGGTGTCTAGCAATATTTATTGTGTGGAACTTTGCCACCACATAGTGAGTCTTCTTCATGTCTTGGCTGTACATTCCTAGTGACCTCTGGGGGTCATGAAAAAAACTCTGTTAATTAGCCTTAAAAGGAGATCTTGGATTTACGGTATCCTGGATATTCTAGCAAAGGAGATGGTTATCTGCCACTGTAACTCCCATAGAAAACTCTCCTCCTCCTACGCTTGTAATGTCCTAATATGCTATTTTTTTGCTCAGCCCGATTGTGTCGCATGGGTAGCTGCTGCAGTTATATTTAGGGATGTTGCTGGCCAGCAGGCAGTGGGTGCTTTCACACAGCAGCTTGTTGTGGACTTTGTGCTGCTTATGTCCAGAACTCTTTCAGTGTGTCCACACAAGATCATCAAAATGCCCACCTGTACTTTGTTTAATCTGGATTTTCTCTTACCATGCAAAATCTGATAAGTAAGCCTAACCAGTTGTACATTTGCAGTCACTCCTGGTATGGAATCTCTTGAGAACATTTTGGGGGTTTTTTTGGAGGGGGCATTTGTCATCCATGTGGTGATGTTTCAATGGGTGGCCTGTATGCTCCTCACATGAGATTTGCGCAAGGCCTGTAATCATAAAAAGAAATATTTTGGGCTGCTTAGTGCTTTGAGTCATATATATGTGAATCATTCTTTCTCAGTCTTCTTTCCCAGCTTTCTCCAACTGATACTCAACTTCAGCTAAGGCACCCAGGGATGGAGGGGAGTGGATCAAATTATGCTTGTGCCTCTTGCTGTTTTTCCAAGCTTCCACAAGAGTACTGATGGACAAATCTGTCAATTTTGGTTCTCAAAGTTCCCCATTTTTCCAGGCTTAAATTCAGTTCTCCACGTTTTTTTCAGCTACTTGATTCTGCTGAACTCCTCATTGAAAATTCATCAGCATTTGAAGTGCAATTTTATCCTAATAAACACATTTTTTTCATATGTAGCTTTAACTAACGTACAGTACTTTTGCAAGCAATTTCCCCCAGTACATGTTATTTTCATTTAACATGTGCTCTTTTGTGCACACTTACACCCAATATACGCACTTTTGCACATCATATTTGATTGGAGATGTGCAGATTTCAAAGGAAAGCTGTGTTTCGGGTTGCATATTGGTTTGAGAAGTGTGAATAGGTAGTTTCTGATTAAAATGCAAACAAACAAACAAAAATCAAATCTCTCTTCCATCCCTACTCAAGAGTCCCCTGCAAAGCCCTGCTGCCCACAATCAAGTGAGCGGTAGCACATCTGGTATGGGGGGAGGGGCATGTCATTCTCCTATTGGGGTAGTTTGTCCACCTTTGGTCCCCATCCTGCACTCAGCTCTCACCTGTGGCTCCTAGTAGTTGTCAGTATATGACAGTGGCCACACCCCAGCTTTGACTGGCCGGCTAAACCAGGTGAGGGTAGCTTATGGATCTCAAACCCTCAGTGAGTTAGGGACTTTCCCTGCATGTGAAGACAGGCTCTGGGGGGTTGAGCAATTGAGACCAGTAGTGGGTCCAATGGTCAAGAAGGCAGTTTCTGCATGTGCTGTAGAGGGAAGCAAGGGGCAGATGGGGCTTCTCAACCTGGGAAGGTAGCCCATCTAGGAGGAGGAGGAGGAGGAGGCCAAGAGGGGGGTCTTTTTGTCTGGCAGCCCAGGACCTCTATACACACTGCCCAGGCTTGCACCCTAGGGAGGTCACTTTGGTGCTGTTATTGAAGTGGTTTGATTTCACCCCGGAGGGGCACTCCATTGTATCTTGAGACAGACAGATGCCAGCAGCTTGCCCCGTACAGTGGTACCTCAGGTTAAGTACTTAATTCGTTCCGGAGGTCCGTTCTTAACCTGAAACTGTTCTTAACCTGAGGTACCACTTTAGCTAATGGGGCCTCCCACTGCCGCTGTGCCGCCACCGTGCTATTTCTGTTCTCATCCTGAAGCAAAGTTCTTAACCCGAGGTACTATTTCTGGGTTAGCAGAGTCTGTAACCTGAAGTGTCTGTAACCTGAAGCGTCTGTAACCCGAGGTACCACTGTATAAATAAGGAAGAAAACTGACCAAAGCAGAGTGCAATATTAGTGATGCAATATATTTTCCACAGGTTCAAAAAACACGTCTGATGATATTGCCAAGTGGAAATGGATGTTTTGGCCTCGCTTTAATTATTAGGCCACGGTCTATGGAAACAGCACGTTAATTTTCCAGTACTCGGAATCAAACCAAAAGCCGACATCTCACAGTGTGCTTTATTTTATTTCTCTCTCACACAAAATTAGCTGAAGACATGGAACGTTTAATGGCAGCATGATTTATGTCGACTTTAAAATAAAACGATGTGATTATTTTAATAAATGGTAATATACAGGCAAACATTTTTTTTTTAAAAAAAAACATTACATACAACATCCAAAACACGGAAATAAACTAAATCTGTGTATTACAGCAATGCTGGTGCTAATTAAAATCCAAACAGAAGAAAAATAGGAGCACGGTCCACTTGCATGGCTAATCTGCACAGCTAGCCTGCTTGCAGTGCACTGGGAAGTAGCAATTGTGTGAGAGGCTCCAATTTCATCATCATGCCTTCCTCTCTGCTCAGTGCAAGTTACTTGTGCTTGCAAGTAAATGTTTGCAAGGTGCATAGAGGGATGGCTGGGTGGGGAGATGAGAGAAACATACATAATGTCCCATGATTGCTGCCTGCATGTGTGTGGATAGATGGGGAGGGAGGGAGGTGGTAGCAGGTCTCCGTTGAGCCCTGCTTGGAACATCTGTGCATCACTGTTGCAGCAGCCCTTATGCATGGACCTTCCTTGATGGTTTAACTGTTCCAGCGTGGCTGGATGTTGTGTATGGATGAAGCTGCATTAACTTTAAGCAGATTTAAAAAAACAAACAAAAAACAACCTGCTAATTAAATTAACTCATCTTTTGTTTTCTCTCAATCCAGTTAGAAAAGAAAATGTTGCCGCTTTCAGAAATGTTTCAGCCTTCCTATTGATGCAAACCCTGGTGGTTCTCTTTGTGGAATGAAGCCCTCCTGCATCACCCACTGCCTCTGAACATGGAAGGTCTGTCTAACTCTCCCGCTAGAACCCAAGCCATGTACGCCGCTTCCATTTTGCTGTTGTTGTTTAGCACTGGAAAGTAGTTAGTGGCTCGTCATACCACAATGATCTGGGGTCAAATGGAACTGGGTTTGCCTCCATAACTGCTATTGAAAAGCGGCTTACATAAACCACAGTTGCATAGCCATTCAATATCTGCAGAAACGAATCCCCAGTGCCACATCAGCAAACACTTCTGATCCACACAGGAGGTCCAGCGTCAAGCTGTTTCTTCTTCTGCATAACGGCCCTGGCCTTGTGATCAGGAGATGGACAGTGGTGCTCAGGGAAGGGGTGATGGGTAACTCTTCCCACTTGCCGTGTTCCCAGTGGAAATCACTCCCCAAAATCTGCTAGCAGACTTGGCGGGGAAGCTTCCATTGGCACTTAATGGAAGCTTTCCTCCTAGGGAAGCAGCTGTAGATAGGGATGGGACAAGGCTGTCAGCTCTGATTTCCAACCTTAAGTCCAGTTTGTCACATTGATAAATCTGAGATACTTTTAGAAGTCCTCACCAGCATTTTAGGGCACGCTTCTCCTATTGTACACGTTTGTTTGCTTTGCAAGCCCGTACATTCCCCATACATAATACATTTTGGCTGGAGACATGTGAATTCTGAAGGATAGCTTGCGTTCCAGTTCACATATTGTTTGGGGAAGTGCAAATCAAAATAGAAAAAGCAAATGGGAGTTTCTCTCTCATCCCTAGCTGTGGGTTGGCTATTTTCATCCGAACCATGGAGGAACAGGGAATGGTTCACGTTCCTCCCTATCTCAGTATCAGTGAAAAATACATATGTCAAATACATTCAAACAGTTAAGATCATTTATAATTTGGTCCTTAGTAGCCTATATGGGGTAAAACAAAAACCTCCAGAAACAAAGCTGAAACCCAATGCACTCTGACCCATTTGTCGTTGAGAGCCACTCTGCCATCTTTAGATGCTGGCTTCATTACACCTGAAACTGATGAAGAAGGGAAGAGGGGTGCCTGTGTATTTGCTTGCAGCTCATTGTTAACACTGGAGCAGCACAGCTCTGGAATGAAACCTAACCAAACTGGTTTGTGTGTGCAGGCACTGAAGATTCCACTGTGTGTGTGTTGTGTGTGTGTGTGTATTTGGGCAGGATAGTTTGGTCCATCTTCCAGGGCTCTTTCTTTCTTGAGGGAATCTTCAGTGCTTCCTAGGAAGCCTGCACACAATGTATTTGGCCAGGGAGGGCCGTTCTGGAGACATTTTCTTACTTCTTCCCATTCACAGAGACCGCAAAAGCTTCACTGTTAACTACCTCCAGCAGTTTCACATAGTAGGACCTGTGGCACGGTTAGAGCATGGTACTGATAACGCCAAGGTTGCAGGTTCGATCCCAGTATGGGACAGCTGCATACTCCTGCATTGCAGGGCGCTGGACTAGATGATCCTCAGGGTCCCTTCCAACTCTGCAATTCTGTAATTCATTCTATGTGCAGTTATTTTCTCAGCACTGTCATTTTTTTTAGAACTGGCCCCTCAGAACTGAATTATTATGCACAAGGATAATGGGAGCCAGCTTGGTTGAGTGCATAAGTATAAATGAGCACACAAGCAAGAGACTCCTGTGGAAACGTCAGTTCTGCTGTGGAATTATGGCACAGCCTAGGGAGAGTCACTTGAGTCTTGGTTCCTTGTGCAAGGACAAAGTGCTACTGATTCAATGTTTTTCAGGGCTTCCCCACCCCTAAACCAAAACAATGTACCAGGTGAAACCAGGAAAGGCTGCCAGTCACGGTGAAAAAGCTCAGGGAAAGGGCAGTTTCAAGCTTTTATATACATTCAACCTTTCTAAATATGTTTAACATGACTATTAGCAGTATCAACTGTCCTTATAGCTAGTGCAGCCACAACACTGTACAATTCTGCAGCAAAGATGGGAGGAGGGAACACCGAAGATCACCTGCATAAAATATAGACTATCAACAGCACACCTGGCCTTCTCTGGCATACACCTATTACGATACTGTGAAGCCCAGCGGACAGAGACACAATAAAACATCAATTGTCAGCATCTACCTAAATGCCTTGTAACGTGAGTACTTCAAATTACACCTAAAGCAGCTTTGAAAAGTCTCGGAACTGGGTGATGCCACAAAATAAAACTTTGTTCAAAGAATCATGGTTGAATAGCAGCACAGACATATCATATAGTTCATTCTCATTACCATTTCGACAATTGTAAACCTTCAGCTAAAAAAAGAAAAGAAAAAAAAAGACCCAATTCTTTGCTGGTAACGTTTGAGGCCCGGAACCCACTATTTGTGATGAGGAGTTTGCAGCTACCGTTTGAAGCGTGCTAAATAGAGAGCTTGAACCTAGCTCCATGTTGCGTTGCCTCTGTGCTGGGATGGCACAGAAGTGGCACCAGGGTACTGGCATCGCACAGAACAGTGGAAGGCAGAATCTGTTTGCTTTTGTTCCATCTCTGCCACTCCAGATAAGGCAGCTGCTTAGGGTCAGGCTGCCCAGCCTATTTGCTGGCTCAGAACAACAAAAGCTGCTGTCGTCTTGACCCATGCATAATGGTTGCCTTGCACAAGTTGGGAAGTATGGCACCAGATTCTCTGCCTGCCAAGCATGTTGCAACAGTTCAAGGGTAGATCTTGGTACAGATACAGATACAGATCTTGGGCACAGGATGCCTTTTCTTCTCCCATGTCATACTGTAACACGTCTCAGCAGGTTTAGGATATGGTGCAGTACTGGTTGTTCCCAGGTTATTACTGGTTGTTCCCACGTTATTACTGGTTGTTCCCATGCTATTGTTCCTCATCACGCCCTTGGGACTCCTGGGCATCATTCTAGGGCAGTGTCTTCAGTCTTGGGTTCCCAGATGCTGCTGGCGAACGGTCAAGAATGATGAGAGTTTTGTAATACAACAGCATCTAGGGACCCAAGATTGAAGGATACTGTCCTAGGGTATGTTTGCACAGTGAGTTGAATTTAGGGCCTACTTCAAACACATATGACCATTACTTATCGGCTGTGACGATATATGTGCGCCACTGACAGAAATTTCACATAACTTGATGCCAACCCAAACAACAGAACTTTACAACAGAGACAGATTGCATATTGAACGGGACAGCCTCATCTTATGCAGAGTTAGGCATGCTTAAACCACTAAACACACCTGTCCTAGCATAGAACCCCGGGCTGTGAGAGTTGCTAAGTACTAAGCAAACAAATGAGGAATGATCAAGTGATAAGTGAACCAGCCCTTGGTGAAGTTACTGGCATGCAACACCTACACCTTCACTGGCGCATGGAAACCTATGCGTTATGCAACACATAGGTACCTCCTTCGCAGCATAGTTACTTGGATTCTCAGAAGGATGTGGTTTGTTAGACAATTAATTCCCACCCCCATATGACATTGTTGTTTTTTACTCTTCGGACAATGCAATAAATGTTAGAAACGTTTAAAGCCGTTGAGTCCCATAGGATGAAGGTGAGCCTAGCTTCTTCTGAATTGCTCCTTTTGACATTTATTCATAAGCATTTCAGCTTTTGCAAAGCTAAGCATTTCAACTTGGTGAAGTTACACCCATGGTGTCGAGGGTACATAAGTTTGAACAAATGCCTTTATACATTTATTTCTGCCGTGAAGCGTAAAAGCTTAGTTCACTGTCGCTCCTGAAATGACGGCTACAAGTGCCATAACTGTAGAGTAGCTACAGCGATGCTGAGATGCTTTAACACACTGGGCACACTCCTCAAGGAACTTTTCTTGCACATGCTCCATTTTAATGACTGGGAGCTGAACAAGAGTAGCTCCTTGGTGGATTCTGCCCATCTTTTAAAAAGCAGCTTTGAAGACATGATATAAACTACAGCCTTAAGCAATGAAAATATTACATTCCCTAGATTATTATTTTTTTGCATATAATGCCACAAAATTAAGATATTTCACTCAGATCTGATAAGCCTTCTTCTCTTTCTTTCTTTCGCTTTATTTATTTATTTATCTAGCTATGTCATCTTAAGTGTTAAAGCAACTGTACTTCAGTCCAGATATTTATTATTGGATGCATATTAATGTATAAAATCCATTTCTGTACAGTTTTATAAACAGAAAAATAAAAGAAAAAGGTGAGGGTTTTTTTAAAGATGGAAATTTACAGAAGTCAAACATGTCCACCACATCTAATTTAGATTTTGTTCCTTTGGGGCATGTATTGTTTAAATAAAATAAAAATAAAAAGCCCTTGCATTAATATGGCCCGAAACTCATTGGCTGGATCCAAAGAACTAATGGAGAGTTGGCTTTTTGTATATGCTGAGACTTTTCTGGCTCCCCACTGCAACATCACAAAACTGCTCGTGAGGGCCGGTGGGGCATCACCCCCCCACCCCCCGCCCTGTGCAGAATCCCAGGGCAGATCTACACTTGTGGTTTATAATGTTAAAAATGCGTTATTAAAATGTGGCACCAGAGGGTGCTGCAGAGCAGTGAACCACTGGCAATGGAAAACAGCACTGAACGTTACATGTTATATTTAGTAACGTTTAACAGATCAATGTAGATCCAGCCCTACACTGTAATAAGGGCTGATGCTAGAGACAAAAACTGTCCTAAGCATGCAGCAAAGCAATTGTTGTGTGTATGAGTTTCTTTTGACCCCTTGGCCTTTCCCCCCCTTAATGTATTACACTGATATCAACAACTGGCCATTACGGCAAAGCATCCAATCTAGAGTTGCCTTTGTTAAAGTGGTAGATATATTTGAATACATGACCAGAGGTGCTTCTAGGCGGGAGCTTAATTTGCTAAAAGGTTATTGAGATATCACAAACATGTCATTACCAACAAGTTTCTCCCCCTCTTATTGGACTTTCCTCAGAAGGGGTAAATCTCTCTCTCTCTCTATATATATAGGTAGGGGTGAATACAGACATGTTTGCATGTTTGAGAAGCACTGAACCCACTGTAAGCACCCTCTTGGAAGCACTGAGGAAGAGACCACCTGCCAGTTCTTTGACTTTAGGGGTTGAGCCCACCTCAGGCAACCCAATCCCATTCAGCTGTAACTTGCTCTTAAATACCTTCAGCAATGAAGATTCCGCAACACCAGCCTCATAACAGCTCGCCTGGTCAGTGTATGTGACCAGGAATTCCCTAAAAGCAAGTCAGTGTCCTGGCAGAACAAGGACAGCTCACTCCATCAATGGTCTGCTTGGGAGAAGGCTATTCATTTTACTAGCTTGCTGACTGGCTAGTAGCATATGACCCTCCCTCTGCAGCCAGAATGGGCTACTAGGCCCTTAGTAAGCTAATGCTTCTTCTTTTTTGCAGGCTTCTGTTATTTACAAAGCTGCAGTACACCAAGAAGCTCTCAAGGGACCCACATCTTTGGGGAAGCCCACCTCCTTGCTACTGTCACCACTGCCCATTCAATTGCCCTTTTCCTCTGGATACAATCCACACACCTGCCCAGAAGGAGAAGGCAAAGGGAAGCGAATGGTGCTTCTTTTTCTGCTGTTTGCACACCTGGGAGGACAGGTGAGCTTGCAACAATAGCCAGGTATAGGGCCTGGGGGCTCTGGTGGTCAGCAGTGGGTCATGGCAGGCTCTCAGCGATACTCAACCATGATGACAGCCGTGCTCCTAGTGATCTATCTACTGCTACGTGTTTAGGATTTTTTAAAACAAAATAAGGTACTCTCAGAAAAGTGGTCTTATCAAGTACTCTGCTTTCATCTTACTGAAAAGGATTTTAAACAAGGATTCCCCCCTCCCTCCCCTCTTCCTCCCCAGGTTTCCATACAAAAGGCAATAGGCACCTTAGGGAACGGGATGATGTCTGTGAACCTCTGCAGATGGAGGCAATGGATGCATTCTTGATCCTTTTGAAGACGGTCTTAAAGAAATAACCAGGACGCAATACTATTGAGGGGAATAAAGCTCCACTTAAGAGAAAAATAAAATGCAAAGAACTTAATTTGGGGAGTGGGGGTGGTCCGTTTTGATAAAGATGGCGGATCCGAGCTAATCTCTTGTCACCTGATTTCAATTCTTGGGCCTCTCTTGGCTTCGAGATGTATTATTCAGCAACCAACGTGGATTGCTTTTAAGACCACCACCCCACCCTCCCCGGCAAAGAAGAAATCAGAGAGTAAAAGCAGGATCAGCTGTGGGTAAACTCTCGCTCCAGTGGGGATGTGAGCCAGAACATCCAGGCTCCAGGTCCTGCAAGGCAGGTGGCAGGCACTTATGGTTTCCTGATGGCCGTGTGGTAAAGTGAGGATTGAAGAATATACTCTATAAACAGAATATTTGTTCTGCAGTTCCAAAGTTATTTCGTTTCAAATCGTTGCTTTGAGGATGCACAAATGGTATCCTCCCAACGATGACTTATGGTGGTGTTGAGTGCCACAAAACAGTACATATCAGGATGCTTCACAAGTTGGGATGAAATCGTATTCCCAGACGTCAGCTTTGGGCCTGAGCTGACGAGCTACATGGGCTTTATTACTGGCCTGAACCTCGCGTCATTTCTCGCTCTGGATAGGTACCATGACAAATTGCTATATCCCAAAGGCGTTACTGGCTTGAAATTGCTCCTATCTCATCCATGCTGCGATTTACTTCCTCCTTCAGTGGGCAGAGCAATAAACTGCAAATTTACACCTCTGCAAGTAGCCCATTTACTGTCTTTCCTGCAGATAAAACACCTCGGTCTCTTGTGCCCTATAGTCCAATGTGATAAAAATAGTCTTGTCGAGCGGCATTTTGCAAAAAGCTGAAGATCTTTGGAGTGTCCTTAAACGTTCGTTATAAAGATGCATGTGGGTATAACTTGCAGAATTTCAGGAAAATAGCAGGTTAAATGTAAAATATCTTCAATAAATAACTCTTCTCCTGCACTGTAAAAAATAAATGAATATTCCCTTTGGCAGTAATAGCTGATTTAATATTTAGACAGAAAGATACTTGGCTCATAAAATAATAGCATTATGCTACAGGAAAAACAAAACGAAAAAAGCTCTCATGCTTTCTGATCCTCTCTTTTCAATTAAAAAAAAAGAGACTTTTTCATCAGTTCGCCACAAGCTGGTTGAAGTCACTTATGCCCCAAATAAGCTCCAAGGGTGATGCAGGCACCCACAACAGCCAGACTCAGGATTGTCTTCAGAGGCAGCCACGAGAAATCGAACAAAGGCCTCATGTTGTTGCTGTAGAGCTCCACAAAAGCATCCTAAAGTAAAAGAGAGAGGGGGCAGGATTATTTGTTTATTATTAATAGTCATAACATGCCTTTTCACCCTGTAATCCCAGAGTGTGGTACCTGCAGGCACAACAGAGAAAATTAAGTAATGAGCTATGCAGAAATGGCAAACCTGACAACAAAATCAAGAGACCAAAATGATGAACTTTTTAACAGAAGAGTTGGACGCCTTCCGTGGACTATTTGGTAAAGTGAAATCGCGGGCAGGATTGAGGATATGAGCAGCGGAAGTAAGATGACAAAATGGTTGCATTACAGGGATTTTTAGTAATAAATAAGAGCTTGAGATACAACGCAGTAGAAATAGGTTAGAATTAAAATTCTTTGGAGGTTTGGGTGGTTAGTCAATATATGAAACAAAGATGTGTGATTATTTGATCTGAAGTTTTTATCTCTCTCTCTCAAATTAAAACAACATACTGCATGAAACTTCAATTAAAGCAATAACTTAAAAAGCAATTGGAAATAACATCAGCTCTACAGGAGGAGAAGCATTCTCTTGATCCCCACCTGGCCCAAAGATCAGAAGGCCAGAATTCTAGAAAAGAAAATGGTGCAAGCATTCACAACAAACCAAGGGATTCTTCGACATCAGCTGAACTATAAAACCAAACCTGTCATGAGGTGGACCGTTGCCTTGCCTGAGGGATTGGACTGGATGTGAACCAACAAATTGAAGTTCAATCCAGGTACGACTCTTTTAGTGAGTGGTTCCTTAGACCAGGTGGCTGGGATGTTGCCTGCTCTTGAAGGGGTTACACTTCCTCTGAAGGAGTCGGTAGGCTGCTTGTGGCTACTCCTGGATCCATCGCTGTGGCTTGAGGCTCAGGAGGCCTTGGTGATACAGGGTGCCTTCAGCCCAGATGTTCCCCTACCTGGACAGGGATAGCCTAACTTCTGTTGTCTATGTTCTGGTAACCTCTAGGTTACATTACTGCAAAGTACTACACTGATCCTGGCCTGACTGCACTGGCTGCCGATTAGTTTCTGGCCCAATGCAAAGTGCTGGTATTGACCTATAAAGCCTTAGATGGCTCAGGACCACAATACCTCAAGGACATCTTCTCCCCATATGAATTGACCTGGACCCTTCAATCATCCTCTGAAGCCCTTCTTTGTGTGCCTCCTCCACAAGATGTCTGGAGGGCGGCAACACAAAAACAGGCTTTTTCTGCGGCACCTTCATTACTTATCTTTAGGTACCAGGTGAAAATGTTTCTCTAGAACCAGGACTTGGGCTGATTAAACCATCTATGCTCTTTTAAATGTGTTTGTGGGAGGGAGGTTTCGTTTTATACTTTGTGATTTCATTTTGTATTTGTTGTTGTGAAATTCAAAAAATAAACAAACAGTATAAGTTGCAAATGAAGCATTTTGGTAGAACCTTTTCCCTCTTCCCAGTCTAGAACTCTGGGCATGTTGGTTTATCACCACAGTGCCTCCCAAAAATGATGGGTGCTACAAATTCAGCTTACCCTGCCAAGCTACTCCCACCAGCAGAACCCAACAGGTTAAGGATTAGGAGGTGCAGAGCTTGGTGGTGTCACAGGTACAAAGTTATAAACCAGGCACAGGCAAACTCGGCCCTCCAGATGTTTTGGGACTACAACTCCCATGATCCCTAGCTAGCAGGACCAGTGGTCAGGGATGGTGGGAACTGTAGTTTCAAAACAGCTGGAGGGCCGAGTTTGCCTGTGCCTGTTATAAACAATGGTTGAAGCTAGACATCCGATTCTGGATACAGCAATTATTGACGCATCTAACATCTGACACAAGATGGCGCATCAGGCTTCTTACATTATGCAACTCAAACCCTGTGCAGCTAGACTTTTAATGAGACAAACAGGGAAATAGTGTTATCTTCCACAATTTATTTTTTACAAAAAGACAGACAGACAAACAAACAAACAAACAAAAACAGACTGGCTTATATCCTGTTGTTTCTATTATTAACCTTTTAACAGAAGCAAGCACGAACTGCCTTTAATACAAAATATAAAAGTTACAGTGGTACCTCAGGTTAAGAACTTAATTTGTTCTGGAGGTCCGTTCTTAACCTGAAACTGTTCTTAACCTGAGGTACCACTTTAGCTAATGGGGTCTCCCACTGCTGCCTCACGATTTCTGTTCTCATCCTGAAGCAAAGTTCTTAACCTGAGGTACTATTTCTGGGTTAGCAGAGTCTGTAACCTGAAGCATCTGTAACCTGAGGTACCACTTTACTGGCAACAGTCCTACACACGAGCCTGCAGAAGTCAGGGTTAGATATCCTCACTGAAAGAAACAGCTTCAAGGCTGCCTTTTTTTTCTTTTCTGGATTGCGGCTTCTCTAAGTGCAGTTTCTCAGCTGTGATTCCAACAGATCGAACATCTGCAAGCTTAAGCGCAATAATTTAAGGTTTGTTTGTTGTTTTGGATTACAAAGAAAAATGAACTGGCATAAAAGGTTAATCTTTTGTATTTGGAATTAGTTAAGTTACATTATGTTCCAGTTAGTTAAGATGTATCATTAATAAAACAATTAAAAGAAGAAAATGTCTAAAATAGAGGAAAGAGCAAACAACACATTTCCAAAATAGCCCTTCATTTTATCTGCTGTCAGGTTGCAACCCAGAGAGTTGCTGAGTTGTCTTTGCCTGCACATGTACAGACAGTATCAACAAGGCAGTGCACATGGTTCAAAAGCCAACAACCAGACCCTTGTCATCTCCTTGGTCTCCTCACCTGATGTCAGGGGGGAAATGGTTTAACATGTGCTTCTAGAGTTACAAGGAAATAGCCTTTTAAACGTACTCCACTGGTCCCTAGCTTTCTCCTGAAAAGTTGGGTAGGAGGGGAGATGAGGGACAACCGGGCATGCGAGAACCATCTACAGTGTTGATGAGCAATGGCTACAAGATGGCTGAAGTCTGGGCCTCGAAGGGACTTGCTTGGTTAGATGTGTGCAGGTGCTTCGCATCTCCTCATAAAGTTGTGCAAGGACTTCACCTCATATATTCTATCTGTTATTTGACGTAAGGAGCTCATTCAAACATGTGTGTTTAGTACTTGACAGCTAAGGTGCTGAGGTGACCTGCATATGATCAGGCTTCCACATCACCTCAGACACTGGCTGTCCAATGGAATCTTTCCTTGTATTGATGAGCAAGTCATCACTGGTTACCAGGAGGCTTCCTGGTTCAAGTCAAGATGTTGCCTTTGACCCACAAAACCCTAAGCGCCTTGAGTTCTGGGTTATTTCAATTCAAAGAGACCTATGGTCCTACTTTTTAGAGGCGAGCCTGGCCTCTACAAGGAACACAGCTATGGACCATTTCTTCCACATTTTATGGACCTTCCTCTCAACAAGCAGGGTGAAGGACTCCTAGTCCAACATGCCTTTGGTTGCTTGCTCATTCTTTCAGTTTATTGATTTGCGTTTATGGTGGGGGGTTTTTACGCCAATTAAATTGTTAAATTGTTTAACGCGTTGGAGCTGTTTTGTGAAAAGCCCTATTCAAGTCGGGGAAATAAATACATAATCAGTGAAGTGTTGAGCA